AAGATGAGAGTGCAAAAGCAGACCAAAGTCTGTCAACTAACAGTGTGAAGGCATTTTAAGTTATTTAATTTTTGGTTTAAAGTGTAGGCGACAGTTTGGTGAAAAGTTTTAACTCAGACCAATAAGGGTATGGAGTGAACCCAGAAAACAGGGACCAGAATGTCTCTCTAACAAAGAGTCATTGATACGACAACTGTACCTGTATCGCTGCGTAATAAATGCCTCACTTGAACACCAGTATAACATTAAGTAAATGATTACTTTATGTCACACAGAGATGTTGTAATAGAGAGGAACATTTTTTTGAAGTTGGGTAGATGTTTAACACGTACAGGCTACCTCGAGGCCTGAGATCAACAGTGATGAAGAGAGCTACTGCAAGATCGATAGAAGATAATGCACAAAATTAAAAAAAATAGTCAAACAGTCAAATTCAACGATAATCTGCATTTTTCCGGCATTAGTTCTTGTCACTGCCTTTTCTGCCCCTGACCTTATGTCACTATATGATAAAATGTGTTAAAGGTTTTTGCTCATTGCACCCCACTTCTTTCCTTCCCCACTTTCCCAGGCTCTGAGAGTGCTTTCAAGGGGTTACCTTGTTAGAGGTTTGGGGTTATGCCCATGTCGGTCACTCTTGTTTTCTTCAGCCCTCTTTTTTCCGAGAGGCCCCCCTCTTGTGTCGGCGCTGTGACAGGGTTCTGGGCAATATCCTGAAAGTCAAATCTGTTCATTTGGATTCAAGTGGTGACCATGGAGCAGACAGCGGCCCATTGGCATGCTGTGGCAAACTAGTATCCAGGGCACTTAATATCCTGAACCCAACATTTGTTCTCTTTCATAACAATAACAAGCTGATATGTGTGAAGTTACTTATTGTGACTTTAAAATATGGCTCATGCTGTTTCTTTTTGTGTACTTTGTTTATCAATGAGCACAAATTAGCTGACAGTTCCAATAGAGATCAGAAATCAGGGTCAGGAAGAGGATAAAAAAAGGATTGTCACATCTTGCTTGTGACACTTAAGCAGGGCAACTGCTTATTTATGTGAGTACATGAGTGTTTGATCAGCTACTTCATAATGCCTCCAATGTTAATGCAGACTACCTCACTGGTTGGCTCTTTTCTCATATGTAGGATGGAAATGTTTTGTAAATCTTTTGTGTGTGGAAACCCACAACTGAACATTCTACCGGGAACAAGTGCTGCACTGTATAAAACAGAAAGCTTATTGCTGTAAAGGAGGAACAACAAGATCAAGTGTATGGAAGTGGATTTCACCCACCCTTGGGTTTTTTGCAATAGGGAAAAAACCAGGATGTGCTCACATAAAATAATCTCCCCCGGTTGCATCATATTTTGTTATTGAATGGGGAGTTGGAAAATAAAATTCATTGCCTGTGTGATTGTTGCCGGTTGTCTTTTAGCCTAATGTTGCTTCTTGTTGTTGGATTCATATGGTGGTATTGGAGCTGAAGCACCTTTCTCTCAGCAGTCCCGATAAGACTGTCTCCTAACTTCTGCTTACATTTCTTATTTTTCCATTTTCTGCACTTTAAATGATCTTTTTAGTCGCATGCAGACTTTGGTTTAATCTTAAATCTGCAGCGAATTTCAAGGAACACTGGAGCAAAGAGTGATGAACAGAACTGGTCCATGGATAGAGCCTTGAGCTGCTCCTCAGGATGAGGATGTTGTGCTTGTGACTGCAGCAGCCTTGCTTTGAACAATGTGCTGTACTGTTGTGATATTAGAAGTGTTGCTGAGGTTACGTACAGCGAGAAATACAATTGACGATAGGAGTCCATTCAAGTAACTCAGCGTTCATGATAAACATTTTGACACAGAAGTACATACAACCTGAATACTAGCACACAACCACACGTGCACACAAATATATATGAAAAGGACAACAAAATTGATATTTAATGTAATTTATTTCTGTTAAATAATGATATGGACTTATGAGGACTGAGTATAAAAATGTCAGATTCCGATATGTCGTACAATATCATATATTGAACAAAAATGGCAATCATTCCCTAAGATGTCGTTATCGCTCCCTTATGACAAAGATATGTAATAAACATAAACTTTATTTTAAATAACTATAAACAACAAGCAATGTATATTATACTAAAATATAAAGAAGTTTTCACATCAAACATAAACACTGATACCGATATGTCTGTGAATGGCTCATAATAGCTTATCGGCAAATCAATATATCAGGCTCAAAAATAAATACATACAAAATATTCTGTAATCAGACACAAGTCATTTGTCCTGTAGTGTTTTACAGACACATCAGAATCATAGAGGAGGACGACACATGTACACAGGCGCCAGTGCAGAGCATCAGGATGTGGGCATGTGGGAGACGCACAATCAGCCATATCAGCCGCACCCGTTTAGTTCGAGTTCTCTTGCATGGTGGGCCAAGCAGAGTTTCTTACAGACTGACAACACAGCTGCTTGCCATTCGTCCGATCTGAAAGACGGCTAATGGGACAAAGGGCATGAGTGAGGAGAGGGGAAACGAGGGAGAGATGTTCGCTGAATTGCCCAGCCCTCCCCTGAGCAGGATGGGGAGCACCACTCTTCCTCTCTGCTCACAGCCGCTTTACCCCGGCCCTCAGCCATTTTGGAGAGAGGGAAAGTGGCTGCTTTCTCTCTCCCTCTCCCACTACGTGGCATAGCTTTTGAAAGGCTTCGGCTGCTGTGTTGTAGCAGCAGCGAAGACACTTTGCGGCTCGCACTTTGGAGATAATATGTTTGCAGGGGGAAAACATTTCTGACGCGAAACAACCTTCTTACGTCTTGACTTTTTTTTTTTAATGATTTTTTTTTGTGTCCCTTGCTCTGAGCTGCTAAGCCTCTCTCTTCTTTGCTGTGCACTTTCACTCATGCTCTGACCTTTTCTTCAATAACTTGCGCTTTAGTTTTTGGTGGCTGCTTCCTTTTCCCCCTTGCATCTTTTGACATATCTTTGCTCATGTCTCAATCTGATTTTATGCAACAAAGTTTAAGACAAAGGGATATGTCTAAATTCTGGCAGTGCTACGAAGAGACAGAGCTGCAGCCAAGGATCCTGCTGAGATCCAAAAAAGCCAAGCAGAATGAAGCACCAAAAAAATGAAAAAAAGAAAACACCACCCTTTCCTTTGCTTGTCACAAATTCCACTTTCTCTGTAGCCAGCCCTGCGCTGCGACTCCTCCTCATCCACATCGTACCGCATTGAACCTTTTGCCATTTCTCTCTTGCCGTACCTTTTTTTTTTTTTTTTAAAGGCGATTTGAGGTTTTTGTACCCCTGAAAATGGGGACTGGACAACGGGTTAGGAGGGCGTAACAGGGAGAGTACGAGGGGTTATTATCTTCTCACTTTTGCACGTTATTTATCGCTTTTTAAAAAAACAAACTGTTATTGTTATTTGATCGTTGTTGCTGTGGTTGTAGTTTTTAGTCTTTTACTTGTTTTAAGATTGTGCTTGGATTAACACGTTGTGTGAGTGTGCGGTGTTAGGAATGTGTGTTCGGGTGTCTCATCTGAATGTGAGGCTTTCTGCTCTGTTCACTCAGTTTGTGATTATTTGTGTGTCTGTTTTTATAGGTTTCTTAATTAATACGAAAGCGCTGGCCTACACTAACCCTCAAGCCTGACTCCATCTGATTCCAGAGGACGTCTGACCATCAGATTCAGCCTGTGCCCCACTGGTATGTTGGCAGTTTATAATACTCACAGTTCTCTCTGCTAGCTTGGCTCAGTGTATTTTCTTATCTGCACTACACTATGTGTACCTGATAATTCTTTTCACAGTGCATGGTGTTCGCTGATCACTCTAAATATTTTGTTACGTTTATGGCAGGTAGTAAAGACAGGAGAAACAGTGTTTAGTATGAAAACGCATTTATTTGACGATAGAAAGAATTTAAAAAAACTACCGCTTTTGTTTTCAGAATTAAACCTGGTGTCATATTTTATTATGTTTGCACAATTTAATATGATTTCAGAGTCTCAGTCTTAGTTTATAATATTTACGTAAAGATTGCGGATTTGCTGTAAAAGGATTTGCATCTTTGTTGTCAGACTCTTGATTGTATCAGTCTCAGGCAATTTTATTGTTACTGTGGTACTTCATAAAAAAGCTACACTGCGTAAAAATTGCATTTTTTACCGCACAAATATATTTTCTAAATTAAAATCATTCATAAGGAGGTATTTAGCATTTTTTATGTCCAGTTGTGAAACACTGTACAGTATGTTAATGTGTGACATTTTAAAAATAAATGTTGACCTCCAAAGAATGTGATCAGTAGGTTACACAAACACCACGTCCATCTCACACTGTTCTGTGCTCTGGCCTGTTCACTGTTCACCGTAGTTTAATTTCAAGACTCTCCTCTGGAAGACGCACACAAACAGAAGCATGTTTTGAAGCCACATGCTAAAGGTCAAATTAAATGTAAAACAAGAGCAACACATGCAAGTATTTTATTTGATTCTCTGTTTATCAGTAAAATATTTATTCCTTGAATATTATGGAGAAAGTTGAAGTGGACTGAACTTTTAAGATAATTCGATGTACATCAACACTATGATCCGGTGCCAGTGTTTGTTCATTGTGACATTTACTTGAATGAGATGGGTTTATATGCTCAGACGTTAACATGAGTTGCTGTTTTGTGGGTCTCTGCCTCCTCATTTGCTCTAGAAGGGGTGACGCCAGCTGCCACAAACCCGTAGATCCGAACTTGTGGTGACTGGCTGCACAAGCTCGTATCTATAGGTATGTGTCTTCCTGGCAAACACAGCACCTGCCCTATGCCTGTAAGAAAAGAAAAAAAAACGACTAGCTCAGTGTAATTACCTTCAAAGCTCACAGTGCTGGAAAGCCATAAAGACGGGAACTTGCAGACTTTTTTACTGTCTTGTCTATAAAGTAAAAGTCATTTATAGCCCAATCAGAGCTCCTCATGATTTAACAGCATAAACCCTGAATCCTGGGATACAACATATTCTCTAGCAAAGTTATCCCACATGCTTACACAGTGTCCCCACCCAAACTAGCAAGGATGGGCTGTATGACAAAAAAATTAGGCCACTGGGTCAAACTGTAGAACAGGATCCCTTTGAAGGAATTCTGCGTTTACAGAATGTTTGCATACAACTATAACTAATCATCAAACACCTCATGTGTTTATTTTAGTTTTAGACTTTTACTTACGTTTTTTACAGAACATTGCAGTCGGTATCATGTTAACGTTCATTATCAGCGCGCACTTTAAAATGACATCTGCTATGGAAGATTTGATCCACACCTACTCAGCTGCAGCCATCCTGCAGTTTCCTCCAGTGCTCCGCAGGTTGAGGTAGTAGGTTGTATAGTTCAGAGTGACACCACAGGAGATAACTGTACAGCCTCCTAGCTTTCCCTGAGGAGACACTACACACTCTGGACACTGATGCACCAAACACCAAACTTTGCTGCTTCATTAGAAAGATCAAGGGTTTATCCGTTGGTATTAAATACTGTGTCGTTATATCAGGTGGTTTTATATCTGACCTTTAAAAAAAATCTTATTTTATAGATTATGGGAAAGGGTTTAAAATGATATCGTGAACATGGCAAAAACTGTCTTTCTGAGTGTGACATTATTCATCACATGAATTAAAACAGAGTCGAGAGCATCGTCTGGGGAAAAAATGTCTCGATTTGTGGAGAAAAGCACCAACGTGCCGCTGCAGTGAGGTCTGTGGGCCGCTCTAATGAAAGAGATGCCACTGAAGGGAAACACCATACAGCCGCGGGGGGAAGAACGCAACCTTGGCAGCCAATTATGTACAAAGTTCAGCTTCACTTAACCAAAACGATATATTTCCTCAGCACTGCTATGTGGTTGAGACACTGCTGTGATCAAAACAGCCAGCAACAACTTTCACTACTTCAAACCAGGGACACAGACCCTTGAAATCATCTTGGTCCCTGACAGCGGCATAAAAGACGCTGATTTATTGCTTAAGTTCAGGCATATTCAAATAAATGTCTTCATGACTTTTAGCTGTCATTCACAGACGTGTTTTAACTGTGTAGCTTTTATCTGTGCCAAAGACAATATTTTGAAAACGCAGAGTAGAAGGTGTTTCAGTTATGGACTCCCATCAACACCTCATAAAGGAAATCATTGTTGAGTAAAAATGTTTTTTTCTTTCCAATTGCATTACTTTTCCAGGGGATCGAACGATGTGGAACATTATGAGTAATTTACAGTTAATATAACAACAGTTGCAGGATTTACTGGTTCCCCTGTTCTGTTCCCTGTATCTTTATTTGAAGTTCAATGTAAAAATGTTCCTCCCACAGTTTGTTGTCTGAGCTTATCTTATAAATAAAAAGGTTCAGTAGATGCAGTCCTGTTGGGGATAAATGGTATCCCTGTAGTGCGGTGTGCTGCTGTGTGCAGATGTGTGGAGCAGGGAGTGGTATGATGATGAAAGACTGTTTCCACTTAAACTCTTCGCTCTCTGTCCCAAGGCCACCGGGTTCGACGGAGGTGGAGTAAGGAGATCTGTGGGCCAGAATGAATTAGGGGCCCTTGGTACGGGGCAGCTTCATCAGTATGAGAGACTGAGAGTCATTTACAGTAGATCCAACATGAATTTACTGTGAATTTACACTAGTGTGTGTGTGTGTGTGTGTGTGTGTGTGTGTGTGTGTGTGTGTGTGTGTGAGCACAATTACCTTGCTTAGTCTGATTTTTCCTGGAACAAGAAAAAATATATTTTATTATCACCCGTGTCTGTGTTAAATGTTTTTTCCTTTTTCTCCCATGGCCATTGGGTAGTGTGTGCCCTTCTTGTGGAATATAAGTGTAGGTTTTTGTCTTCATTGAAAATTTCGTGTGTGTGTGTGTGTGTGTGTGTGTGTGTGTGTGTGTGTGTCAGAGTTACTGGAAAGTGGAAGTAGAGAAATGTGTTAAAGTGAGACGAACAGACACTTCCCTGCTCTGAAGTGCATGTGATGTGCTAAGACGACACAGCATGTGACTTCTGTGACCCAGAGAAATATATTGACTTTTTTTAAAAGTGCTGGAATAGAGTCAAAAAAGAGGAAATGTCTCTGATAACGACAAATTAAAAATAAAGAAAAATCAATTGAGAGACTTTGTTTATATATATTTTTTTTACTAACTTAGGAGTTAAAGAGGCTGCACTCGTAGGGAAAATCCATTCATACTAGTAGAAGGAAGGAAGCCGATCATGTGGGACAGGCCATTTTTTCTGCTGTCACTGATCTCAGGCCATTATGTGTTGTCCGTCAGAAGAACCCTGCTCTGGCAATCCACTCTTCTCCCCGCTCCTCTCCCTCTCCTACCATCTTGTCTAGCGTCATTATTTTTTTCACTGTGATTTTTCTGCTGCTTTACAGCGGCTAATGCTGATAAAATATAAGACCACCACATCACCAGGCTTCCAGTTACATTTCCTTTACTGCTTCCTGAACTCACGTGTTTTCTCTCCCTTGCTCCCTCCTTTTCTCTTTCAATCCCACCCTCCTTTTCTCCATGAAACGCACGCTGTAATACCCAGTCACTCTCACAGACACAGAGGGAGAGAGAGACAGGAACAGAATACCGGACTTGCCGACTGGGGAAGGATTTTTTTCTTTTCTTAAATGAAAAGGAGCTTGAAAGAGACATTGTAAGATGAAACTGTGGTTACCTATTTTTCTTTCTCTCCTCTGTGTGCTCTTGCTTTTTTTCCAACTCTTCCTCCCTTCCTCCCTCTCTACCTTTCCTTGTCTCTCCTTCTCTGCATATAGCAGGCATTTTAGAATCTAAGTGATTTCAGCTGTGGGAGGAAATGAATGGATGTTATTTATTTCTCCGTCCCCGCTCTGCTATTGCTATTTCAATGCTGCATGTAACAGGCAGAGAGGCTCTACGGTTTCTCTGCCCTGGGGACTTGAGCCTGCAATCCATGAAGCATGCGAGGCAGAGGAGGGAAAGAAAATACAGAGACACAGACAGAAGAGGTGTGATATAGCGAGACTAAAGCGCCGAGCAAAAGAGCAGGGATAGAATGTGAGACAGATGGAGCAGTGAGACAGACAGACAGACAGGGGAGGAAAGAGATGGGTAGTAGTAGTGTCACATGGAGAAAGACAGGGGTGAGTAGCAGAGGGACGACAGCAACAGGCGTTACACGTTTTTTCCTATTATTCACTCTTGTGGCTGGTTTGCCGCTCTATGCCTGTTTTCAGAGCTTTTAATCATATCTGCTAATATCTGACGATAACAAGAATTTCCACGTGTTTGTTGCTTTTTCTACGGTCTGATAATTTAGAGCTTTATATGGGAACGTTAGAAATTGTGGGCACATACCTGCTTTATTAGATTACATGTGGCATGTATGTGCATTGCTTTTGAATTGGCTTTTGATTTACTTAAGTAATCAGTTATGTATTTGACCTTATCTGACCTTAATAATGCTTTTCTTCTTGTCTGTCGGTCTTTCAAATTTTTTCTGTCTCTCTTTCATTTGCCCTTGCTCTCCTGTTCTAAGTAAGCATTCATGTTGCAGTGCAGGCCCATTGATCTGCTCTTGATTTTTTCTTGTGCATGCTTTCGTTTCTACCGCAGTGCATCTAGTCGCACACGTTTTTTGCTACAAATGTTTTCTGTTGCTGCTTTACATTGTAATATATTAGTATCTTTAATCCTATAGTTTTCAAAGTCATCTTTACTATTTTACTCGTCACCTACTTTACCCTTTAACCTCGCACCTGTCCTCCCTCAGATGATCTCTCTCTCTCTCTCTCTCTCTCTCTCTCTCTCT